GGCTCCAAGCTTCTCCAAACTACTGGGATCTCCACTGAACCTTTGGTTTCACACTCACAGTTTCACACACTGCCCTCTCAGAGGCACCTTGCCTGGCCTCCAAGGCCTTCTTCTGAAATCTAGGGGGAAATCTTCCTGCCTCCACAAATCTTGTATTCTGCATGCACCTAAAACCAGCACTGATAGGCCAGCTGTAGCAATAGCCAGGCTTCCTTCTATCTTGGCTGTAGGAGTCGAATCCCTGGACTGCTGAGCACTCTAACCCAATCCTGAGGAACTAATTGTCTAGATAGCCATTTTGGAAAAACATCCTTAGGCCACCACCATTTTGGAACAACTTCTCTAGGCCACCACCATTTTGGATATGGTACTCTGGGGCTTTCTTCTCAAAGCAAAATCTTTCACCTTTACAACTCTGAGACTGCAAAGGGTTGAGTCCTGCTGCTTCCTGTGACACCCTAAGGCCATCTTCTCTAGTCTTCTGTTCCTTCTCTGCAATCAAGATCTCTTCTGCTCTGTTTTTTCAGTCCACAGCTTTACTGAACCTTCCTTTCTGGCTCAAGTCAAAATGTTTTAAATCATTCTGCCAGGCTTTTTGCTCTTGATTCTCAACATAGATCTGGCTAAAAGTTTCCAACAGTAACATTCAACTGCCTTGAAATTTCTTCTGCAAGATTATTTAGTCCACTGCCCCTAATCTCAGTCTCAGGCTGTAAGGACCAAGTTTTCAGGTCAAGGTGGGCTCCCTCTGTGCCCCTTGCCCAGAACAGAGCTGCAAAAATTCCATTCTGTATGACAGTCTCCCTGTGTTTCTGTTCCTCTTTTTAGGGCAATCTGTCTTAGGGCATCTCCACCTGTTTCTATTCCTCTTTCTATGATCTAAAGATGAATTCTTCCTGCTTAAAATAATCAATGTTTTTTAAAAAGAAGGATTGATGAAATTGATTTAGCCAATATAGGTACTAGTCACAGCTTATATAGATAGCCACTGCTAATATAGGCATTAGTCACTGCTTACATATGTAGTCTTTGTTAATTATAGAACTTGTTTAATCAGATGTTCTTTAAAAAGAGGAATTGATTCTGTGAATACAGGCATTAGTAATTTTCTAGTAAGTGCCCTCCCAGTACCCCTCAAATATCCAATAATAAGCAAGAGCTAAAAATAGGACCTATAAAAGAAAAGAGTCTCCCTAAGCCTATATAAGCCCACTTCAAAGATGGATCTGGACTCTCAGTCTGAAGGCGCTGTGACGGTGACACCTGAGGGTCCAGGCTCAAGCTTGCAATAAACTGCTCTTGTAATTGCATCAGATCTGACTCCTTGGTGGTCTTTGGAGACTTCGTGACTTGGGCATAACAAGGCAAAGTCTCTGGACAGGAACAAAATACAGACAACTTTATGACAAGCCATGACACACATCATCTGCAGTCCACCAGCCAGTGCAGTCCTTCTTCCTAGCAGAAACCTCCCTAGCATGGTCTTTACGAGCTTTTTGGTCTTCTGAGCTCTGACCAGAATCCCCCATACAGAACAGTCTAAGGTGTTCCAGAGCTGCTTCTGCAGCCAGTGTCTCTGGATCTTTCCTAACTCTCCTCCTTCCCACAAGCCAGTTCCAAAGGCTTTTGAGACACATGGCCAGGTAACATCACAGCAACAAGCCCACTTCTCTGGTTCCAAGTTTCTGTGTTATTATTTTCTCTCATTGCTAAGACAAAATACACGACACCCCAAGTTAGAGGGGAAAGGGTTTATTTGGCTTACAGTTCATAGAGGTTTCAGTCCATAACCAGCCAAGTCTAAGGTAGGGATGACAAATAGGCATAGCACAGCAGAAACAACATGGCACACACAAGGCAGCGAAGGTAACAAGGGGGGTGAAACATTCATCTTTTGTCATTTTGACTTTAGGGAAGAGTCCCAAATTTACATATTGACAGAAATTGGTGAATAACCTGGATGAGGACACATCATAACATTTTTTATCATATAATTTTTATTTGACAGAAATTGCCAGCACTTGATCAATGAGGGATGTTTAAAACATATGGTGTTTGTTTAAATTTAAAAAATTGAGTAAAAGACACATTGCCGTTAAGTCTCCCCTAAATACTCCTTCTTGATTTTAACACTTTTACTCCATCCTTTGTTTTTTAATTAATAAATTTTATTTTATTTTATCCCATCCTTCTTAGCAATGTGTCATTTAAAATAATGTTAAATAGTCACTGTAGTTTTTGATCACCTCTTATATATCTATGATATTCTCAGCCTCTATTTGAAGAAGCTAATTTTCTAACTCTGCCTTCTGGTTCTCCTGTTCTTTGGCCAAGAATAAAGCTTCTTTCATTGCTCTATTGAAGTTTGGTTTTATTTATTGGCCCTACAGTTCTTGGAGGGAAAAACGAATCCATTTGGGTCAAATTGGTAACAGTATCACATAAAATTTATCCTCTTAATTATAACATATGATTTTAAATTGTGACTATGTAATAAGACAAAGGGCATAGGCTAGAGTAGTTAAGCATGGAGCAGTAACTAGGAAGAGAAGGACTAGTTTAAAGAAATTTGTTTATATGTATTTCTCTTTGACTTCTCATCTCTGGAGATAAATTTTCCCTTCTGTCACCAGACAGTGTCCAAGGAGGCCCTCAAAGCAGAAATGGGGAAACTTTGACTTGCCCATGGGGCAGTTTGCAGGTTCATTGACTTCTATCATAGAAAAAGAATTTCTGGGATGTATCAGTGAGAGGCAAAAAGAGATTTTTTTTTAGGCAGAATTTTAGAAGCACACACTTGAATTTGCATGCAGATCTTCCAGAGAGAGAGAAAGGCACCTTATGGCTTTGATCTAGGTATACTTATGGGGACTTGGGGTGGAAATCTGTGAAATTTATGAATGTGTGCAAAGATGAGTTGTAAGGTGATGGTCTTTTGTGGGGGGGATAATGGCCTATTCATAGGTGATAGCTATCACAGCGGATATAGCACAGCCATCTGTAAGAAAAAGCTCATTTTACAGGCCAAAAAAAAAGTGGTTTATTTATAGGTGAATAAAGCCCAATTACAGGTACAAAAGAATAGCCAAGGTTCATTTACAGGCAAAAAGGAATGGCCCATTGAGAAAATGAAAAAATGGAAATAAAGTGTTTGTAAATGGGGAGGGGAGGAGGGGGTGGAGAGGGGGGGGGCGGGA